CCTTTGCGGCGCCAGAGCCTATGCTCCCTACTCCTTCATGCCCCGGCCCCTCAGGACGCCTCGGCGAGAGGAAGGTCCGTGGCAGGTGCGTGGGGTGTAGTTGCAGAGAGAAAGAAGACAGAGGGGAAGGCAGGCGGCAGGGCGCGCGGGGACTTGGCATCGGCCAGCTGAGCGCGGGTCCCCGGCTGCCTGTGCCTGCCCACTTGTGAACAGCGAGGTCCTGAAGCCACGTGGAGGGGCAGGACTGGACCGAAGTCATGGCTCTGCCGTGGGCCAGCTGAGATAGTCTGGAACAGAAGGGGCACACGTGGGGCCGGGGAGACCTGGGCCTCTTTGCCTTGGAGGTTCCTGCAGGGGGCGAGACCCGTGGGTGTGTGCGCGCCCGGCCTTTGGTGTGCTGTCAGAGGTGGCTGGCCTTTGGCCTCCCAGCCACGTGGCCTCTGCACCCAGCAGTCCTCTCCCGGCGGCAGGACGAGGCCGCCTCCTCCCCTGCAGCTGCAGCCTCTACCCTGGTCACGTGGCCACAGAGGCAGAGGTGTAGGTGTGTCTTTGCTAGGTCACCCTGTGTGGCCACAAGTCCCACGCTCGCCACAGACCCAAGGAAGCAGAAAAGAGCTTTGTTTTTGCAGCCTGGATTGAATCTCCCTCCTCCAGGTGCAGCGCCTCCTCAGGGCCCCGCCGTCGCGGGGAAGGGAAAAGCGTCTCTACCTTTGCAGCAAGGAGGCAGGTTGAGGGCCAGGGGTCCGCGGACCTTTGGTTGTTGGGGAAGGAGGGTGTTGCCCAGTGGCCACGTCTGCAAAGCTGACTCCTGCGTGAACGCTGACCCCACCGGGTGAGAGACTCTGGCCTGGTTTCTGGAACAGTCCTCGCTGGCTGTGCTGGGGCTTCCAGACCTCGAGGGGCGAACGACTTCTCCCCAGACCCCCTCCGTCCTCCCTCCAAGCTGGCCTCCCTCCAGCTGCCTGAGGCCCTCTGTGCTTGTGGCACAGAGAAGGGGACCAGAGCTGATCACGGAGGCAGCCAGAGTGGGGTCTGGGCTGCGGTTTTGTGTCCTGAAATTGTCTCTGAGGAATCTACACGGAGTCCGTTTTGAACTAAGCTCTCTGGTTCCACAGCCCGTGGTGTCCTAGCCTGGGCCACACCGCGGCCTTGGGAAGTGGAGTCATTTCTTGCTGTCTGGGGCTGGAGTCTGGCCCCCACATCTCAGGTTTTTATTGTGTCCTGTGTTTCTCTAGGGAAAACCCGTCCCGCTGAAGGGGCCTGTGTCCTCTGTCCCCAGAGGAGGACCCGGCCCCTCTGGCCTTGGCTTGGCTTCTCCCTGACCCCAGAGCTCCGCCAGTGCCTTGTAGGAAGCCCCCGAGTCTGGGACCCCCAGGTGGAGAGGGGTCTGCTGGACACTGCCTGGGGCCGTGCTCTGGGAGACCCCAAGCTTGACACCCCAGAAAGGAAATAAAACAGTTGAAACGTGTCATTTCCTGTGTGTCCTTGTGTGAGGTCAGCGTCCCTGGGTTTCCTACCCTTGTGGATCTGGGCTCGTGGCAGCTGGTAGTGTGTGAGGAATTCTGCACTGAGGGTTCTTCCTTCTCAACACCTTGGTTCTGATGCACAGAGAGGGTGAGGACCGTGGCAAGGTCACACAGCAGGGGAGTGGGTCCTGGGATTTGATCAATGAACTGTGCTGACCCCCAGCACGTACAAATCCCCATGACACTGACAGGGTGCCGTGACTGCCTGTTGCAGACAGGGAAACCAATGCCACACCAGTTGAAGCCCCTGGTCCTCCAGGCCACGGCTCAGGAGAGGGGGGTGGGAACCCGAGCCAGGCCGGCTTCTCTGCAGCGGGCCCTCTACACAGGGCCAGGGCCTTCTGAGGGTCTGTTTGACACGGGGGGAGCCTTTACCCCAAGCCCAGCAGGCTCCCCTCACCTCCTTGGCCCTGCAGGGAAGGGAAAAACCACTTTCCTCTGCCCTTCTGTGGTCTTTGGGCCACAAATTAAATGGACATAAGACATTGACAGGAAAAAACAACGTTTTACTTTTTTGCAGAGATAAGGTCTTGCTCTGTTGCCCAGGTTGGTCTTGAACTCCAGGACTCAAGCCATCCTCCTGTCTTGGTTTCCCAAAGCACTGGGACT